GTACTCCCACGTGTCAGGGGAGAGGTATGTCCCAGCCGTACTCCCACGTGCCAGGGGAGGAAGTATGTCCCAGCCGTACTCCCACGAGCCAGGACCGGCATTCTGCTCAGGGTGCGACTCTATAGTGAATCTCTTCCGGGACCAGGATCCGTGTGCTCCCTCCTTGAAGGCAGGTCTGCTCAGGAAGCTAGCTCAAGGTCAGAGGTCAGCACAGAGTGTGGCCATACCTCAGTGAGTTGTATCCAGATCTTCCGCACAGCTTGACCCTCCTCTGGGAGGGCCGACTGTTGAAGGTTCAGGGCCAGGCCCTTCTGGATGCCCTGCCAGTACCCTTTCCACCACCCTTTCAAAGGTACGTGCCTTAGCTGCTTTCTGCCTCTCAGCCTGCCCTTCCGGTGAGTCTGTAACTCTAAGGCAGTCAGTATGAGAGCCCTGCAGGTCAGGTTCGGCCAGCAGATGTTAATAGTTCGAATTAGTTGTCAATATTTAAAAAATCGAATTTCACTTGAAAGTCTGGATTTCCATCTTTTCTTGAAAACCTGGATGATGTGGTCCTGGGCTGTTGTCTTGCTGGAATGAAGCTATTGGGCCTATTATTTATTTATTTTTTAAAAATAGGTTTATTTATTTAAAGAGAGAGAGACCAGCATGCCCCAACAGGGTCTTCCTACTGCAGTCTACCCCCAGCCTCAGCCAGCCAGGATCATAGGCATGTGCACCTGGTGTGTACAAGGAGACCTTGGGATGTGAACCCAGGACCCGCCCACATGGCCTCAGCATCATGGAGGTTATTGCTGCCGCTGTGGCTAGTCTGCTGTGCCGTTTTAGGTAACCTGGTGTTTGAACTTGGCCTTGATTCACACCAGGCCTGGCCTGCATTTTATATCCTCTTCTAGAACTTGATCTTCTGTAAACAAAATCAGGGTTACCGAGGTATAAATTACATAGGAAACTACATCCAATTCAAGTGGAAGCTTTGGTGACTACCTCTCCCGATTGCATATGAAATGATTTCAGAGACGAACCCCTAGAGGGCACTCTTACTCTTCCCAGGTTTCTGGGGGCATTGCACCGTGATGCCTCGCGCCCTCTGTCCCGGTGTGTTGCTGGGTGCTACAGCTATTTTTGTCTCCTTTCTTACCTTCCCTGGGAAGCTGGGTGTTTGCCTAGGGCAGCTCCATCAGACTTCCAAGCCTTTGTTCTCTCTACCAAACTGAGCTGCTTTCTAGGCTTGGCTATAGAAAGGCTCTTCTGAGTCCGCTGATAGGATGCTAATTGTTGAGGGTTAAAAAGGTAATAATGGGGGGACCAACAGTTAGCGTAATGGTTGTGTTGCTGGACTCCCATGTAGTCAACCGTGGTTCGAGTCCCAGACCTGGTGGCTTAAACTCACGCTGGGCACGTGTGCATGCGTGCCCAAGATCCTGAGAGGAGAAGGGATTTCAGCGTGGCCATCCCCCCGGGGGTGTGATTTTTTGCTTTCTGTCTCTCTGTCTCTATCTTTCTGGCAAGCGCACGTACCCTATAGCAAAAACCTCTCAAAAAAAAAAAAAAAAAAGATAATAATGGGATCAGCAGGTTGTGTAGTGGTTTATGTTGGACTTCCCCATGGTTGACCGAGCTTTGAGTCCTGGACCCGGTGGCTTGAAAATCATGCCAGGTGTGAGTGCGTGCATGCTTAAGATCCTAGGAGGAGAATGGAGGAGAAGGGATTGATTGCAGTTTAGCCATCCCCCAGGGGTGATTTCTCACTCACTGCCTCTCTCTTCCTCCCTCTCTCCCCAGCAAGTGCATGTGTCCTATAGCAAAAACCTCTAAAAAAAAAAGGAAGTCATAATGATAGCATCTCATTGGTTGAGTTCTGCCATATGCCGGAAGCCGTGCAGGATTGTTGTAAAATTATCTCCAGTCCATACTAGCAAGTTATCCCAATTTTATAGCTGACAAAATGCAACCTCATGGAGGTTGCCTTACTTGCAGTGGTCAGGGAGCAGTTGACTTGTGGTAATTTGGTGGCCCAGAGGATTGTTCAGCTCTCCCTGGTGTGGGTACCGTGAGTGTGGGTGGCACAAGTTTCTAGAGGGGAAGTGATGCTGAAGTAGTTCCCTGCTAGGCTTTCTCTGTTTTTGTTTTTGTTTTGTTTCGTTTTCTCCCACTCACCCAGAACAGCTCTGCTTTATTTGTTGTGTTTGCTTAGGCTTCGTGACAGATTTCTTTTGGAGGGAGGATTTCTCGGCTAAAAGAATGAGTAATCTAGTGCTGTTGGTGGTGGGGGCCATTGAAGGTCTCTGAGCAGGCGTGAGACTTGACCAGAATGTAGTCTGGCAACTCGGCGTTAGATCCGCCAGGGCCAGGCTGGAGGCAAGGAGACCAGTTAGTGTCACACAAATTCTGGCTCTTAATCTCTGACCTGCAAACTGTGATCCGTTTATGTTCAGTCATTGGATATGTCTACTTTGAAAATGTCTGGCCCCATTTCCTACCTCCTATTGCTCCACTGAGTTAAGAAAACAGCTTAGAATTAATATTTAAATTTTGTTCTCTTTTAGACTGATTGAGGAGTTGAAGCTCTCTTTGAAGAGCAAAGAAGCTTTAATTCAGTGCCTTAAAGAGGAGAAATCTCAGATGGCATCTCCTGATGCGAGTGTGTCATCTGGAGAGCTCCGAGGACTTTCTGCTGCTCCGAGGGAAGGAAAGGATAGAGAAACTGAGGTGAGGCAATGGGACATGAAGGGGGGCCTGGAATTAGAAGAACTGACTCCTGAATAGGAGAAGGAATGCACGCCCAGGCCTCCTGGTTCACACGCAGTCTGCCTCCAGCTAGTGTTAACCTATGAGCTGAAGAATCAGCAGAAACTGCCTTGGCTAGGGACCCTGGCATCCCCCCGGCCCCTCAGCCTGTGTTCATATAGAAAGCTGGTTAAAAAAGCAGGCTGGTTCCGGCTTGCTGCTCTTTCACTAGGCGTTAATTTACTGGAGCCTGGCAGCTTTATGTTCATCCTTCGGGTTTTCTTTCAGTGTATCGTACACCATTGTACACCATCGTACTCGTTTTACCTTTGTGGTTTAAGGCAGGTTTGAGGCCAACTTTGATCTGAAACTTTGGAGGCAGTAGGGGGAGGGAACTAAAACCTGCACTGGTCCTGGCAGCATGTGACCGGTGCAGCGTGCCCCTCATTCAGCCTCCCAGCCACTTGGTGAAGTGGAGATCATGGCCTCCGGTCGAGTTTAGAAACCAGCTCTGAGGATTGTTCTATTTTTCCCAGGCTCCCAGAGGTGGCCAAGGGTTACTAGTAGCTGGTCCCAAAGCCCCCCGTGGCCCTCCCCCACACTAGGTGCCTCCATGGCAAGTCATTTTGAAGAGGGTGGGCAGGATGAGTCTGGGTAGGTCTTAGTTGATACTTACGTCTTGTGGGACCCTGGGTGGCTGCTGCATATGGCATGTTTACATCAGGGCGTGTTCTGGATGTTTACGAAAGGCCTCAATTTCTTTATGGAGCAGGGTCTTTGTCTCTGCCATGGCTATGACTTCGGTAACCTCACCATTAACTGTCACCTGTCATCACCGTTGTCCCCTGCTCCTCTCGAAGGCTCACGCTCGCACTTCCTGGGTTTTGTCTTTAGCAGGCCTTTTCCATTTCATTCAGCGGCACCTTGGCCTGCTCTCTGGGGCTTTTGACCTCCCAATGGGGGTTGTGTATCTTCATACTTTTCGTCACTCAGATCAGGTGAGGCTTTGGGTGGGGCAGAGAGAAAGAGGGGGCACTTTTTTAATGAGTTCCACAGCTTCAGGGGAAAGTAAGTAAATGAGATGCCCACTCTGATTGTTTTGGGGAAGCGTTTGGATTTTGAGTTTCTTCTGAGCGACAATTAATGCCTTTTCTTAGGCTGCACAAATGGAGCATCAGAAGGAGAGAAAGCACTTTGAAGAGAGGATCCAGGTATGTGTTTATAGTTTACAAAAGTTTATTGAAGACTTACCCTATTCTCGCCTCTTGTTTTATTCTGAGAGCAACAGACAATTGTGTTTGATGATAGCTGTCATTTGTTGAATGGACTATGTGCCATTCCAGCTAAGGGAGCTTTGAGAGGATTTTTCAGCCTTTGCAAATAACCCTGTGAAGTAGGCGTTTCCATTTTGCAGATGTGGTACCTGAGGCTCAGAGGGCCGAGGCCATGTGCCTGAGATTCCGTAGTTAAGGGGAGGTGGAGCAAGGATTCGGACTGGCCAGTCTGATGCCAAACCTTGCTCTGTGGTCCCCGGGCCCGGTCACCGCAGCTAGCATTTATGGAGCGCCTGTCAGCTTGGAAAGCGCTTTCACATCCATTATCTCATTTGATCCTCACAACTAGCCCGGGAGGGAGGCAGCAGTGATTATCTTGGGAATGAACTCAGACTATAAATGTATAGTTCAGTCTCCATCACACCAAATTCCAGTCTGCTAGCTTCTGTAGCATTAAGGAATGAAATTAATGATCTGTTATTTCCCCCCAAATAACCTGGTACCATTTCAAAGACTCTAATGTGACTGTATTCAAATTCCAGAAGGCATTGGAGTCCTTCCCGTAGGAATAGCTGTCATCGTCTTAACTGATCAGATCCCTTCCCTTCACCCAGTCCTGTTGCCGTGAGCGCTAACACAGTAACTTGGAGCCGCTGCCACTGCGTTCAGCTTGACTTGGAAACATTAATCACGGGCTGACAGGAATAAGATAGAATAACTGCATTTGAGTGTGCTCTTAAAGATATATTTACAGTGCATTTTGGTTGGAACGCATCAACTTAGTGCATCTTCCTCTAATCTAATTTAGGCACTTCAGGAGGACCTGAGAGAGAAGGAAAGAGAAATTGCTACAGAGAAGAAAAATAGTTTAAAGAGGGATAAAGCCATTCAGGGTCTAACTGTGGCATTAAAATCAAAGGAAAAAGAGGTATGTCTGATACACTTGAAGTGAGATTTTTCTTTATTAGCTTCTGTGACTGGCCTGTCTTACTCTGAGTTTTTGGCTATAGATAAAAAGTTTATAAGAGAACTAAGCTGGAATGGAAAGTGGGAAAAGGATGCTTTACTTAACTGGAAATTCTTTTGGAACCTGGTACTGTCTAGTATAAATAAAATATGAGTTACATATGTAATTAAAATTTTTCTAGTACCATTAAAAGAAGTAAGAAACAAGTGAAATTAGTTTTTAATAATACATATTCAAACATTATCATTTTTTTCTTTCTTTCTTTGGAGAGGTTTTTGCTATAGGGTGTGTGCGCTCGCCAGAAAGACAGAGAGAGACAGAGAGACAGAAAGCAAGAAATCACCCCCCAGGGGGGATGGCCACGCCGCAATCCCCTCTCCTCCATTCTCCTCTCGGGATCTTGGGCACGCATGCACACGCGCCCGGCATGAGTTTAAGCCGCCGGGTCCGGGACTTGAACCTCGGTCGACTACATGGGAGTCCACCGACATAGCCATTACGCTAACTGCTGGTCCCTAAACATTACCATTTTACTATGTGATCAATAAAACAAAAGTAATAATAAAGTAGTTAGCACTTTTTCCCCTAGAACTAAGTGTTTGAAGTCCAGGTGTGCTTGTAACACATCTCTGTTCAGACCCACCAAAGTTTATGTGGCAAGAGCTGCACGCAGCTACTGGCTATCATACTAGATGTTGTAGGCCTCATCTTTGGAAAGGAAACAGAATTGAGAGAAAGGAATGGTGAGAGGCGTGTTCATGACTCTGCAGTTGGGTTATTGCCTTTGGGAGCCAAGGTGGTGATTGACGGTTCCCTGCTCTTTTCCTGCCATTAGTTAGTACAGCAATCCGCTGTGTGCCAGCTGTGTGCTGGGTTCAGACACCTCGAGCTTGGGCCCGCATGCACACGCGCCCGGCATGAGTTTAAGCCGCCGGGTCCGGGACTTGAACCTCGGTCGACTACATGGGAGTCCACCGACATAGCCATTACGCTAACTGCTGGTCCCTAAACATTACCATTTTACTATGTGATCAATAAAACAAAAGTAATAATAAAGTAGTTAGCACTTTTTCCCCTAGAACTAAGTGTTTGAAGTCCAGGTGTGCTTGTAACACATCTCTGTTCAGACCCACCAAAGTTTATGTGGCAAGAGCTGCACGCAGCTACTGGCTATCATACTAGATGTTGTAGGCCTCATCTTTGGAAAGGAAACAGAATTGAGAGAAAGGAATGGTGAGAGGCGTGTTCATGACTCTGCAGTTGGGTTATTGCCTTTGGGAGCCAAGGTGGTGATTGACGGTTCCCTGCTCTTTTCCTGCCATTAGTTAGTACAGCAATCCGCTGTGTGCCAGCTGTGTGCTGGGTTCAGACACCTCGAGAGGGAACTCCTGCTCTGCCTGCTTGTCTAGCGGGGAAGAGAGAGTGATGGGCCTTGTGACTGAAGGAAGTGCAGGGAGGTGGGAGGGGGAGGAAAGGCTGCCAGCCCAAGTCTGGTGTGGATATGGGACTTGGGAAGTGGAGCATGGGCAGTGGGGTTTGGGGAGTGGGGCTTGGAGAGAGGGGCTTGGGGATTGGGTGTGGGGAGTGCCTGTAGGAGAGGGTGCCTGAGCTGAGTTGTGAAGGCTGAAAGGAAGCAGAGATAGAGAGGCCATTTCCGACAGAGAGAGAACATTGATCAAGGCCTTGATTTGGGAACGAGCCAGATAGGTGTGCGAATCACAAACAGTCAGGGGTTGCCAGAGCACGAAGAGCAGGACTAGCAAGGCGAGAAGAAGCTGAGATGGTTGCAAGCAGCAACCCCGCCTGTGGAGTGGGGACTCATCATGTCACCTGCGTGGGTCGCACTCTCTGAGGTGGTTAAGCAGATAAGTAGGGTCACATTTTCATGTAAGAGAGATCTCTGGCTATATTTGGAGAGTAGATTTCAGGAGGGAGAGTATTGGACAGGGGCTAGTAGCCCGATGAGAGCCACAAGACCAAATCAGAGCAGTGGTCACAGCAAGTGGGAATGGATGGGAAGCAATTTATGCAAAAAATAAAATAGGAAATAATTAAAAATTAGAAGTAAAGTTGGGAAAATTCGATGACTAGAGGTAGGACTTTAGAGAAGAAGCCAGTGTGTGGCTTGCATAGCTAGGGATGTGGTGATGCCACTGACTCAGTGAAAAGCACAGAAGCTGGACTATGGTACTAAGAGGGCTGGGGGTCGAGAGGAGCAGCCTGTTTAGCAAGCACTGACCTTCAGGAGCTGTGGCCCTTCCAGGTCAGATGTCAGAGAAGCAGACAGATAGGCATGAGCAAAGTGTGGAGCCAGCTCAGTTCAGAAGAAGTTGATCTGGGAATTTCTCATGTACAGGAGTGAGTCTGAATTCTGAAGATTGACCTGGTTATCCTAGGACAGTGCAGAATGGAAAAGAAGAAAGCTGATTGCTGTTCAAGTCCTGGACCAGTGGCTTGAAACTCACGCTGGATGTGTGTGTGTGTGCGTGTGTGCCCAAAATGCCGAGAGGAGAGATTGAAGGAGAAGGGATTGTGGTGTGGCCAATCCCCCCTGGGATGTGATTTCTGACTTTCTGTCTGTCTGTCTGTCTGTCTCTCTGTGGCTAGCGCTTCTGCCCCATAGTAAAAAATCTTTCTCTAAAAATAAAAAAAAAAAAAAAGAAAAAGAAAAAGACTGAGGATAGGACTACAAGGGCTGTCAGAATTTTAGGGATTGAGAGAGGAATGCGCAAAGACGACAGAGGGGTGGTTTCAGAAATAGGAAACTCACCAGAAGACTGTGGTGTTGAAAAAGTGAAGAATGTGAGAATTTGAGTGGTCACCAGCGTCAGATATGGCAGAGGTTTGATTCATAATAACAGTCATAATTTGTACCACGTGTGGGACTTGATGGCCCTGCTGAATTTGGGGACTCAGTATGTCATGACAGCAGTGGGGAAGCAATGCTTGGTGTCGGAAAGTTCAGACTGTGGTCACGGTGGTTCATGGCTGACTCTGGGGTACTGAAGATGAGGAATTCTGGCTGGGAATAGCCAGCCTTGCTGGTTGGGTGGGTCATCCATCCAGGCAGTACTGGAAGTTAGGTTAGCATGAGCCAGGCGCACGTTACACAGGACGCGTTACCTCATCTCACGCTAACACGCCGTAGTCAGGTGAGTGGTGGTATCTTCACTTCACAGTTAAGGGAATTGAGTCTCAATGAGGTTAAGTGTCTCACCTGAAGTCATCCAGCTGTAAATGGCCAATCTTGAAACCCCACTCAGGTCTTTCCTGACTATAGAGCCCTTGATTATAGGCACTCCACAGTTGAGCCGGAAAAGCATTTGGGCTGTGCGGAGAGGGGAGCGCGCAGTTGTGTACTTGGCCGCTGTTCCTTATTCCCCGCCAGGTTGAAGAACTTAACTCTGAAATCCAAGGGCTCAGTGCCGCGATTGCTGCAGGCAGAGAGGCCCCGCAGAAAGCACAGACCCGGAAACTCCAGGTAAGTGTTCACTTTGGTTTAAGTGGCTGTCTCTTTGATCCTTATTCCTGGTGAGGTAAGGACTTTGCAACTGAAAGGAACTTGGATGATTTTAATAAGGAAAACTGTGGGTGGTCTTTAGTGATAGAATTAGCTCAGTCTAATTAAAGGGAAATTCTGCACTAGCTTTGGAAGCTTCTCCAGCCCCCTCCTCAAAATGATGATGGTAATGATGACAACTACCCCCACGGTTGGGAGTGCTGAGTTTACTCTCTGCCACGTAACAGACAGTGCAAGATATGCGGATTATCTCATTTAATCTTCACACCCCTGTGGGGGTTTTGAGGCTCATTGAGAGTGTGCAGCTTACTCACTGTCACACAGCTAGCAAGTGGGGGCCCTGGATTTAAATGCCTAATTGCTAAGAAAGGCAGCAAGCATTTACTGAACAAATACTATGTGCCACGACCTGCCAAGTGCTCCCTGTAGAGGATCTCAGTTATCTGCACAGCAGCTCTGGGAATCGGGCACTGTTACTATCCTGTTTTACTTTGGAGGAAGTCCAGGTTGAGTTACTTGCTCAGGGTCACAGAGAGCGCAAGGATTTGACCGCTGAGCTGGCACTGCAAAGCCTGTGCTTTTACTTGTCACCTAGACTTCTCTCACCCAGCTGCAGCAGTCCTGCCTGCACCCTCCCCAGTTTCTGTTTCGGGCCTTGAAGTTTTTGACCTGCCTCTCTCTTATCTTTCCCCATACTTCACTTCAAGGACTCTTGCTGGTCATCCTCTTGATCTTACCTCTCTCTTCCTCATTTTCAAGTTATTTTAATATTTTCTTCCCGCGTTTCTACTTTTCCCATGCAGTTTATGCCTATTACCAGTAACTTGATGAATCAATAAAGTTCCATCATCAAAATAAGTCCAAACGGCCTAAACCTCTCTCCTCCCACCCCCTGCCTGAGGTTGCCTTTGGTTATAAAGTAGAAGTTAGAAGTTAAGTCTAATTTAAGGCTGTTTGATTCCTAACATCCATATACCATGCTTTATCTTTTGCAGAGTTTTGGTTCATAGTAAGAACAATTGAAGTAATTTGGTTTAAATCATGGAGTGCTAGAAGCATAGACTAATCTCTGTTTTGGGGTTCTCAGACTTCCCACCCCCCTCCCCCGTTTTGACAGTGCTGAGGTTACACTGGAATTTTTTTTCCTTGCTTAGAAATTAGCAAGCTTCGGGACCAGCAGTTAGCATAATGGCTATGTCACTGGACTCCCACGTAGTTGACCGTGGTTCGAGCCCCGGACCCGGTGGCTTCAACTCACGCCGGGTGCGTGTGCGTACATGCCCAAGATCCTGAGAGGAGAATGGAGGAGAAGGGATTGTGGCATGGTCATCCCCCCTGGGGGGGTGATTTCTCACTTTCTGTCTCTCTGTCTCTGTCTGTCTGGCGAGTGCATGCACCCTATAGCAAAAACCTCTCCAAAAAAAAAAAAAAAGAAATTAGCAAGTTTCTGAAACTAATTTCTTAGGGAAACCACCTATATTTTCCATTGCTTGAGGAAAAAAAAATATGTTGGCAAATGATAGCCAGAGAGACTAGACAGCCTTGTAAGCATTATGATGTTTTACTTTTTATGTTGGGCCTTAAAAGAAAGAAATGAGCCTTATAAATTTAAATGGTACCAGATTTACTACGTACATTTATTAATTTAATAACCTCCAGTCCTGGTTGAGAGACCTTTCGAATGATTTTTTAGGGACTCGCAATGCACATTGTTGGTCAGGGTTCTTGTCTGCAAATGCACAGAGGATCAGTAACTGCTGTAATTCCCGAGTTCCACATGACAGGACGACAGCTCAGCGAACCCTCATTTAATCCTTACCCCGTAGGTAGTGTGTTTCCGAACTTTAGCCAGTTTGTGCCAGGACTCGAAACCCAATCTGTCTCCAAAGCCTATTTTCTTTCCACTGCTCCTATTGGGAGCGATGAAGTGCATACAGTGCACTGTAATGTACTGGCGATTTCCTTGTGAAGTGTGAGTAGTTTAATGTTACGCAGACACTTGTCAGTGCACTTCCTTTCACTTACTGTGACCTTTTTGGGATATCATGATTTGAACTACTTGCATTGTGAGTTAAATAACTGAAGATCACATGGTCTGCATCAAGCCAGAAACTGAAGCAACAGTAAGTGATATTTAAACTCTAGTGGCTGTTGCCATAGTTCAGAGGCACAGAGACAAGAATTGTAATCATAGGAATGACTGAAGATTACCATGTGGACTGGCCGATGTTACTTCTGTACCATTTAAAAAATATTTTCAAATTGGAAATCTATCTCCTCTCTAACCATAAAATAAAAATGCACATTGTAGAAAATTGATAAAATATTTAATGTACTAGAAAAACGTTGATAGAAATCATTGATGAACTTACCTCTAAAGATGTTCACTGGTAAATGCTTGGATTTTTTCGATGCATATTTATACACATATACATGTGAACTTGAGAAAGTTAAGTAAGATCATTAAGTTCATCCTATAACATTTTATGAATTATTTAATTTTATTTATTCATTTATTTTAATTTGACCAGAGATAGACACACACACACACAGATGTAGGGCGGGGTAAATGAGAAAGCAAGCCACCAGGTCCGGGACTCGAGTGTGGGCAGCCATGTGGGAATGAGTGTCTAGCACTTTAACTGCCATGCCACTTGCTGGACCCTGTCCTATAACTTTAAAAGAAATCTAACATTCTTTCCATGGCAGTGTATGTAGGGTTGTTGGAAAAGCCATAACATGTCTTTCTATGCAAAAAGGCATCATGGTGTTTCCAGTGACCCAATATATACAATATATACACACGCACACACACACACACACATATGTGTGTATATATATATATATACACACACATATATATGTATAGATATATGTATATATATATATTATCTGTCCATCTATCTACATAACCAGTCTTTTAAAAATTTTTTGTTTTGAGATAATTATGGATTCACATGCAGTAGGTTTCTGTACACTCTTTATCTAGTTCTCCCAAAGGGTCATATCTTACATAACTTAAATAATATCAGAACCAATACATTGATATTGGTGCACTGACCTTAGAGTTTAGAGTTTACTTGCGTGTGTGTGTATGTGTGTGGGTGTGGGTGTTTACTCTGTGCTACCCAGTCTTTTTAAACAGCTGCATATAGTCAATCCGTGTTATGAATATACCATATTTTTTGATTGGGAAGAACAAGGGGTGTAACATGGACTTGAATCCTGGTTCTGCTCTTCACTAACTGTTACCTTGGGCAGAGTAAGCGAGCTGCCCCCACCTGTCTGTGCATTGTAAAATCTGGATCATCACACTCATGTCAAATAGACCTTACAGGCTTAACAGGGATGTACAGCTGGGCACAAGTCATTGGCTCAGTAAATGTTAGCTCACTCTTCAGTTAGGGGGTATAGTCTCTTGGCCCAAAAATATAGTAGTTACTTTGGTTGGTTTTTCAGATTTTTTACATATATATATATGGATTTTGGTTTGAAGAAACCTCTCTGACACCTTTTATCAAGAATAAAAGATTATAAAGTAAGCAAAGAAAAAAGGGACCTAGATCTGTTCTCTTGCACCTACTGAAGTGGCACTTTACGTTTCATATTTCACATTCACAACAACCCTGTGAAGTAGAGGCTGTTGCTTCCCACTTCCCAGATGAGGAAATAAACTTCAGAGAAGCTAACTTCTCACAAGTCACATAGCTAGGACTGGCCTTTCAACCCTGGGCTTTCTAACTCTCTCTTCATTTTTTCCCCATGTTGATAGAGAGGGGAGAGGGGTGAGAGGAGGAGTGGGAGAGAGACAGATAGGTTTTTAATTCTTTTTTTTTTTTAACTATTTGTATAGGATAGAGAAAGAAGGAAGGTGAGAAATCACCCCCTAGGGAGGATGGCCACATTGCAGTCCTCTTCCTCCATTCTTCTGTTGGGAGTTTTGGGCACATACGTGCCCAGCATGATATTCAAGCTGTCAGGTCCAGTACTTGAACCTCATTTGGCCATGTAGGAGTCCAGAGCCTTAACTATCACATAACCTGCTGGCCCTGAGACAGATAGGTATTTTTAAATACTTTATTTATGTATTTCTCTCGTGAAGGAGAAAGAGAAAGATTTTGGGGAAATGCGAGGAGAGAGAGAGAGAGAGAGAGACAGGTACCCTTAATTGATTTCGTCCTCCTGTGATGCACCCCCTCGCCTTCCAGCTCACCAGGATTGCAGATGTATGTGCCCGTGGGCATGCCCGGCACGTTTAGGTCCACCTGGTATCCCAACCTAGGCCTCCCATATGGCTTCCAGCCTCCCAAGCAGTGCACAACCATGGTGCCTAAACTGAGCCTAAACTCATCCAGTTTATACACAGGGGGCAGAAACAGTTTGCTTAATATTGTATGTAGTCTTCAGCTTCTGACCATGTCTAATTGAACCAAGTCAATGCCACCTGGGCATCCTGTAGAAAAAGGTAAAAAAGTTCCCCAAAGAAGTATTTCTAAGGGCTACTTAATGAAAATTTGTCATGGAAAGTGTAAAGTGTCTTTATGAAGTGAATAGAATAGAAGCTATGAATTTGCATTTTTTGAGCTTGGAGTTTGAACAAGTTTTTTTTAAAAAATAATTATTTCTTTATTTAATTCCATTTGTTATTATTATCTTTTAATTTGACCAGAGAGAGACAGAGAGAGGGACAGAGAGATGAAGAAAGGGAAAGCGAGAAAGTAAGCTGACATGTCCGGGACTCAAACCGTGGTCAGCTATATGGGAATCCGGTGCCTTTAATCACCATGCCACCTGCTGGCCCCAAGTTTTAATGAATTTTAAAGCTTGGAGTTTGCCATTGTTATTTATGTGATATCCTGCAGAACTTTCATCACTTTATAATAACTATTAGTAGTGAGTGTTGCTGTCCTGTGTTTAACAAACCCTAACTCTTTTTAAGTCTATAGCCCTCCCCCTCGAGTTCAGTCTCCTTGCTTGAATTCTTACTAGGTTATTGGTGTTCATTGGGATCTTCGCTGGTAAGGGTAAGGCCGTCTGGTGCTATGTAAAGAACACCAGGCTCTGGAGGCCTTTGGATCCCAGATTTACTCACCTAGGGTCTGATGACAGACAAGTCACTTAAGTGGGGATCATAATGTGCAATTGGTAGGGCTGGTGTGAGAAACAGAGAATAGGAGTAAGGAGTTAGCTCCTCACATATGGTCAGTGCTTAATGATGGGTAGCTATGGATTCCCTTCAAGGTGAGCGTGGTCCCATCATTGTTTACTTTCCTTCCTTTGTTGAGTTTATTTACATAAGCACTGCCACAGATACCTATGTAAAAAAATTTGGCCTTCAACATAGATTTCCCACTTCTTTTTTATTTCTTTTACTTTCAAAGGAAACAAAACCAGAAGCTTTTGTAAACTTACAGTAAACTTACTGCAGAATTTGAATGCGGTTCACTTCAGTTTGCTGTGTTCTGCATGAAGTTAGGGGAATAAGGGACCAAATGTCTGGTCTTAAGGTGACCTGGGCCCAGCAGGGCTCCGTGGCACCCAGACTAGTGTGGTTGTAGGCCACCTGTCTGGGGCAGCAGTTGACACCTGAATAGCCGAGACTTAACTAGTAATATTGGTGGGCCTAAATTTCCTGGAAAGGCCAAGAAGCTGTGCCTTTTCTGCAGTCTGAGTTGTGACCTTCACAGGTCATTTGTTTTTGAATTCTTAATCTGGAGCTTCCGTCTAATTCAAAGGACCGATTAAAAGAGGTTAATTTTTTTTGATTAGAAGTATTAAAGTGCTTCAGAATTTTTTTTAAAGATGTCTGGACTTAGTTCTACGTAATAGATTTTTAGACCATTTACAATGTGGTCATTTATTTTTTTATAGAGCATTGTAATACAAAAATATTCCCATGTTTTCAATTCTTTGTAAACCTAGTTTTAAGATTTCATGGTATATATTTATCATACTTTACTAATCCATTTTTGTATTACTACATGTTTAGGTTTTTCATTTTTTTATTGTTACAAGAGATTCTAGAACAAAAAACCTTCATATGTAAGTATCACATTCCCCCTTCCCCATATTTTGGATTCCTCTGATATGAACCCTGGAAAGGGGATGAGTGTGAACATTTTATACTATACATATGTACTTGATATATGTAACTTGTCCAGGCAGTCAGTTACATTCCTGCCAACATATTCCCTGGCTTCTATATGCTTGACCAGTTCCTGAAAAGGAAATTAAGAGTACCGTTTCACAACAAGCTTGTCAGCACTGACTATTCTCATTAAAACAATATTACTTTGATGAATGAGAACTTGTTTTAATTTGCTCTTTTTAATTACTGGTGAGTTAGAACATTTTTTGTATGTGTTTGATAATCACATTTGTGTCTTCTCTAGTGAACTGTGTATTAATAAAATAAAGATGTTCCTGACACATTTAGCCCTTAGACTGGCTGAAGCCTTAGCCTTTCAAGGTAGCTGTTAAACTACCAGGTGACTGCTTGTTTTCCTCCAAGTGACTGGGTTCGAGCATTCCAACATAGGTGAACATCGCTAGTGCTTAGGTCGCTCTGCTTTTCAAGTGCTATGCATGTTCTACCTCTGTCAGGGTCTAGCAGGGTCCTGACACTGCGATCCACCCCAGCTTCAGCCAGCCCCAGATCAGGGGTATCTTGGTGCCTGGTGTGTTCAGGGAGGTCTCCAGACACGAACCTGGGACATCCTCCTGTGAGTCACCTTGCAGAACAGTGTGTTTCACTGCTGCACCCCTCTCTCGCTCCCATCTACCTTTTTAAAAAATGAGCTTTTTTTTTTTTTTTTTTTTAAGTGAGAGATTTTTGCTACAGGGATACGCTTGATGGAGAGACAGAAAGTGAGAAATCACCCCCAGGGAAGATAGCCTTGCCACAGTCCCTTCTCCTCTATTCCCCTCTCGGGATTTGGGGCATACACCCACAAGCTCCTGGTGTGCGTTTCAAGCCCTCCGAGTGTAGGACTCGAACTGTGGTTGACTACATGGAGTCCAGTGACTTAATTGTTATGCCATCTGCTGGTCCCATAAAATAAGTTAATTTTTTTAACTATTATGGAAATTACATATTCACTCATCTTAGAGTTTGCTGGTCCCATAAAATAAGTTAATTTTTTAAACTATTATGGAAGTAACATATTCACTCATCTTAGAGCATTTGAAAATACTGAAGGAAGAAAAAAAATCAACTATTGTGTCATCAGGAAAGTCATGACATATTTTTCTGTGCAAAAATGCGTCATGAATTTTCTGACAACCCGTATATTCTCACCCCAGGGAAGATAGTTACTGTTAACTTTTTGTGCTTTTTCCATTTAGTCTTTTTAAAAAAGCTTATTTTACTCAACTGTAGACTTTCACCTTAACATCAACATCATAATGCAAATGTTATCTGGTGTTATTACAAACTCTTCATATTATTTGTGCTTTGGATCCTGAATGTTGTCTATGTTAATCTTTTTCTTTTTCCCCCCAAGGTGCAAAAGGAGCTCCTAGTTTTTTTGTTTCTTTGTTTAATGAGGCGTGAAACTCGTTCATCTCCCTCCTCTCCTCTCTCTTACAGGGATCTGAAGATTATGAGGCTGCTCTGTCAGAGAAGGAAGCCCTTTTGGCTGAGCTGCACTCGGAGAACCTGACCAAGAGTGCAGAGAACCACAGGCTGCGTAGGAACATTAAGAAGGTCACTCAGGAGCTGAGTGACTTGCAGCACGAGAGGGAGAGACTAGAGAAGGACCTGGAGGAGGCCCGTCGAGAGAGGAGCAAGGGAGACTGCACCATCCGTGTGAGTGCGCCTGCGCATCCGTGCGTGAGGCCTGGGGCTGTGGCTGTTTCTGTGATAGGGTGGTACGCAGGGCAGGATGCTCAAAACAACCCAGACATACAAAGAAGAAAGTACTTCACTCATCTCATCACCTAGAAATGGCCAGCCCGAACTGCTGATATCTGATGTTTTGGTCCTTTTATTCTCTCTCTTTCTCTCTCTGCCTCCCTCTCTCACACACACAGCCACCCACCCACACACAACATTGGTATCAAGCTGAAAATACAGTTTTGTATCCTGAATTTTTATTCAGTGTTCTCTCTTTGGTGTGTTGCCATGTCACAAATGGTCTTCATTTCCCAGCCCTTCTACAGTTTATTTACCTAGTCCCTTATTGTAGAGCATCGTGGTCATTTCACCCTTCTTGCCTTAGAACGAACGTTGTAGTAAACACCGATATACGTAAGCATTTATCTACCGATTCCTTCTGATAGAGGTGTAAGGACTGGGTACTGGGTTAAAGAGTATGAACATTTTAAAGACTGTTTTATAGATAATGTTCAAATTGTTCTTCAGAAAGATTGTAGCTAGGTTTCTCTGTGATCTTTTTTTAAGACTGAGTATTAGCATTTAAAAATTCTCTCTGAATTAGGTAGGCTTATTAAATTTCAATTATATTTAAGCTAAAGTATTCAGCATCTTTGAATTTAATCCCTCCTGAGAGTCACATTCAGATACACAGCTTGGGTGCAGTTGAGTGGGGTAGGATCTGAGTCTGTCTGAGTCGAGTGGTCGTTGCCCCCCAGATTAATTGAATCACCTGCCCTAGAGCAGGCAGAGTCATTAGAGTAGAGGGCTCAAAAGAGAACCTGCAGGTACCAGTGGTTACTTCTCTGGTAGCTGCTTGTGGCGGGATCCCAAGATCCATAGGTAGAAATTCTAATGTTAATGTTGAAGAATTAAAATACAAATGAAATTTGTATTAAAATTTGTTTATTTTAGTGACATTTTAAACAAACATTGAGAGCAATAGTGAAAATTCAGAAAAATAAGAACACATCAGCTACAGTTCTACTTCCCTAACAAAGCAACTCCTTCTGTTTTTAGTATTATCCTTGAGCCCTGGTGCACCTGGGCTCCCATCTGATCAGAGGCTGGAAATCGTTCTGTGCTCTGTGATCACCTCCTTTCTTTCCATGTCGTGTAGACTGCAGAATGAGCAGGTCGAATAATGCACAGTCTTTCACTGTGTAGTTTTCATGTGATTTACTGAATTTCTTCCTTTGTTGGACATTTGGCTGTTTAAATAATGCTGCAGTGAACATCTGTGAGCATAAAATCAATTTCTCTTGAAATTCCTAGCATAGATTCTGAGGATTGCATTTACTGGGTCAAATAAATAGTGCTACCATTTATACTGGTTAATAATTCTGCCAAATTATTTGACCAAATGGCTAGCATAATTATTGAAGTGTGCTGGTTTATTGCATGTTATTTCTTTTTTAGACTTGCTAAAGAGCTTGTGTGCTCACCAGAGAAAGAGCGGGAAGGAGAGATGGAGGGATGAGGTGCAAGAGAGCATTCCCCGTGTGAGATGGTCATGCCACAATCCCTCCTCCTCCAGTTTCCTCTCAGGATTTTGGGCACACATGCACCTGGCATGCTTTTCAAGCCGTGTCTGGGAGTTGAATTACACAGTCAGCCCTGTGGGATACAGCCACCTTTTAATTTTTAATACATTTTTATTTATTTTATTCATGATAGAGAATGTGCATGTACATGCCTGTGAGGGAGGGAGAAATGGAGAGAAATAAGCACTCCTGAGAAGATCTGGTCACTCTGTGGTGCCCTTTCTCCAGTTTTCCGGGATCTTGGTCATGAGCGTCCATGGGCCTGTTCAGCTGGGCTGGGGAGCCAAATCCATAGTCAGCCCTGTGGCTTCTGGCATTGCAGTTCAGTATGTTTTAGACTGTGCCATTTAGGTTGGGACTGAAAGTTTTAAATTTTTAAATGTATTTTTAAGAGAGGTGGAAATGTTTTACATGACAAATGCTAAACAGTTTAAAATCCAGACCTAATGAGTTTAACTCACCTACTTGGTGCAGAGGTCTTTGTGGGACAGTGTAGTCAGGGAAACTGGGAACTCTTCTAGGAGGAGGTAGCATTTAGGCTGAACGAGAAGAGTTAAGATTTTACAGATGGGAACCAGCAGTTAGTGTAATGGCTATGTCGCTGGACTCCCACGTAGTCGACTGCGGTTCGCGTCCCGGACCCGGTGGCTTAAAACTCACGCCGGGCTCGTGTGCGTGCACGCCCAAGATCCCGAGAGGAGAATGGAGGAGAAGGGATTGCGGTGTGACCATCCCCCGTGGGGGGTGATTTCTCGCTTTCTGTCTCTCTGTCTGTCTGGTGAACGCATGCACCCTATAGTGAAAACCTCTCAAAATAAATAAATAAATAAATAAATAAATAAATAACAGAAAAAAAAAAAAAAAAAAAGTTAATTCTTAAAAAAAAAAAAAAAAAAGATTTTACAGATGAGGGAAAAAAAGCCTGGCCAGTGGGTTCTTTCATAGAGTTGCACTTTGACAGTCAATTCTTATATCCTTTACTGTTAGATTATAATTTTTTTAGTGTAGAATAGTCTTCTCCACTCACTCACCCCCCCAGCCATCATAAAAATGTTTATTGAATAAAATTTGGATAGTAGGACTTGTGCGTATGTGTGTGAACACACTCACACACTCTGGAATATACGTATATAGTATGTAACTTTTTTCCATTTTAACTTTCTCCTGGCAAGCATTAAAAATGGCTCTATAACATTAGATCAAGTGGATATGCTATGATTTATTTACATGTCCCTGCATTGTCAAGACATTTTTTTGTTGGTTCATAATGCATTTATTCGTGGAAACCCTGGTGCTTCTGAAAGAATTTTGGGCTGCTGTTGATAAAAAGATGTAGCCTACCTAACATGTATAGATGTTCATAACAAGGTTAAAATATGTTTCGAGGAGTGGGAGGGGACTGTGGGAGAGTAGGAGGGGCTGGGGTGAAGTATATAATGGACAGGACTTTTTTTTCTGCCAGTGGCAGAAACTCAGTTGAACTCCATTTGACAAAAGGGGAATTGATCACCTGTGTCTCAGAACTGCTGGTAGGATGGGCATTGGAACATTGCCAGGCCACTCGGGCTCTCCGAGAGCTGACTGCTTTTTCTTGCATCCACTCCCGCTAGTTCCAAGGGGCTGGGCCCCTCATTGCCAGCCTGCTGGGATCACATCTTCCCAGTTATTGCAGGAGAGGAAGGAGGGCTCTCACATTTAGCTGCCCCACGATCTTTTTTTCTCTCTCTCTCTTTTTTTTGAGAGAATTTTGCTATAGGGCGTGTGTACTCGCTAGAGAGACAGAAATCGAGAAATCGCCTGGAGGGATAGCCACGCTGCAATCCCATTCTCCTCTCGGGATTTTGGGCACACATGCACCCGGTGTGAGTTTTAAGCCACTCGAACCATGACCGATTATGTGGGAGTCCAGCGACATAGCCATTACGCCATCTGCTGGTCCCAACCCCCTCTCTCTCTTCTTGTCGGGATGGCCAGATGGGTGAGGGACAGAGGGATCCAAGTTGGGTCGCGTGCCCACCCTCCTTTGGCTGAAGTGTATGTGTCCGTGTGTGGGTGTATGTGCCATCATCACCAGCCTCTAGAAACACATGTTTTGAGGGTCGTGAGGAAGTACCCAGAGAAAGTACTATTTTGTTTCAGGGCACCGGCAGACCAGAGCAAGAGCTGTGTGCTCCCAGTGCTTGCTCCGGTGAGCACGCCATGACTCAGAGCTTCCTGGCATCTCCCCGTGACTCCCTTTACACATCAGGTCACATACATGTTTCTGACGAGATGACGTGCCCATGGTTTCCTTCTTCATGCATGTGTTTCTGTTATGGTATCTCTGGTTCTGGTTGAGTCTGGGGACTTGGTTGTGTCCATCTCATGGGAGTGTTTCATACCCAACTTGAAATATTCTGGTGAAACGAAGCTTTAACAATTGTAACTTGTTTCTGTCTGTATTTTAAAGCATTTGTGGAGGGTTATATAAAGTCATAAGATTAACTGAGATTGAAAATAAAGGCTTTAGGGGCCAACCTGGTGGCATAATGGTTAAGGGAGCTGGACTTACATGGCTGACTCTGAGGTTTGAGCCTGGATCCAGTGGCCTGAAAAACATGCCAGGCACGTGTGTATACACGCCTGCAATCCTGAGAGAAGAATAGAGAAGAAGGGACTGCAGCATGGCCTCTCCCCAGGGGACACTTTCTCACTGTCTGTGTCTCTCTCCAGTGAATGCACACATGCTATAGAAAATAAAAAGGCATTGGGAGCCAGGAAAAATAAGTGACTAGTAAAATGGAACCATGGAACGAGTATGTGAAAATGCATGCTGCGATGTGTATTGGGGTTTCTGGCTTGTTCAGAGTCTGGGGGGTCACGGGGGGTGTTGTATTTGTTTTGTGGTGCAAGGATGAGTGCACAGGGAGAGCACACCTACCAGTCATGCATATCTTATCAGCTGGTTTCTGTTAACTAGGCTCTTTAATTAACTAGGCACCTCCCACTTGCCAGCTGCTACTGGTGTTGCTTTTGGCTTGAAACAAACAGACCACAAAAACAGAACTTTTGGTGGTCTCTTTCTGCCCTGGCAAAGGAGCAGAATCCATTCCTTTATCCAGCAGCACTGAACTTTGGGTATTCCTCTGCTATGCAAGGGGACATTTTCACAACAGTGATAGGAATAAACTACCATGGAATACACAGAAAGGAAGTGGCTTCAGGACCAGAGAAGGCTTCCAGGAGAAGGATCTTTTGAACTAGTTCTGAAGTTTGAGTTAAAGGTTAACAGCTAGGTAAGGGAGAGAGGGGTTTTGTACAGAAGGTAAAGGCTCAGAGGTGGGAGAGAGTGTGATGTTTCAGGGCCTGTGGTGACTGGGTGGTTGATTCTAGGGACATATCAGGGGATTA